TTTTGCAAATACTGCCCTAGGTGTTGGTACATACCAGAAAGATGAGACATGTGAAATGTTGCCAGCTTTCAGTGTTGTGCTGAAAAGTCTTCTGATACTTGTTTTTTCTGAGAAAAGGAGGAAGCATGCTTTAGGAATCAGGAGATCCATACAGGCAAGCACAGCTGAAAGATCCTGTAAACACAACACGAAGGAAGGACAAGAACCACAAACGAGTTGGGTTTATAATTAACACTCTCTTCTAAGCACATCTGTTTTTTAATTTTGTGTGCTTGAGGGGAGCCTCAGGCAAGTAAGACTCTCTGCTGACCTTATTCCTCAACAGCTGAAGCAGGGTGCTGTGTTGGTACAACTGTATGGGGAAGGGCTTACACTGGATTGTCCTAATAAATGTTTGCAGAATCATTGTCCCCATCAACACAGAAGCATTTTGTATTGGGATTTTCAGTTTTGTTTCCACATGTACCAAAACCATGCAAGATAAATGAAACAACTGGAAACTTGCATCATGACTCAGTCATTGCCTTGAAATGAAATTCAAGAGGAAGGTGGAGTGTGGTCTGCTCATCCCCGTTGTGTCTGCTGGAGACTGGACCATCTTTTCCTTCGCCACTGTGCTTGGCCCTGTTCTTTTTTAGACTATTACTAGGAAGAAAGCTCTCTCTCTTCCTTCTCATCCTCCTCCAGCACAAAACTGGTGGTGTTTTTTCCACTGGGGAGACTCTTTGCCACCTGGCAGCTCTTCATCCTCTGAGTTTGAGAGTCCTTTTTATTGCTCAGCCAGGAGGGATTGTTTCAGGCTGCAGCTTGAAACAATCCCTCTATTCTGGCTACATTCATTTCACAGGAAAAGACTTCATCTCCTCTCCCATGTGTCAAGGCATCAAAACAGGTAGAATTTCCTTACTATGGCCTAGTGGTAAGACCAGAAAGACATAGCTACTAACCTCTGCACGGTGCAGGTTTTGGTAAATGTGGAAGAGTTCATAGCTCTCACCGAAAGGGAAGCAGCTGTAGATATGGACAATGTATGTTCTTGCTTGCCAGCTCATGGCACTGTTTGACTTTGTTAGACACCCCGCTTTACTTTTTAGTGAAAGTTTCTTTAGTGAAAGTTTAGGATTTCAAGCAAGAGTTTGAAAATGCCACTCCAGCTTTACTGGGACAACAGTAGCTATGAGGAGCTGCAAGGAGTGGATCTTAGAGGTTCTCTGTGCTCCATTCCCTTTCTGCTGTGGACCAGGAGGAGAGGAACCACACAGTGCTCTCTAGTCCAGTCCCTAGGATGCAACCAGGATTGTGGAAGTATCCCTTCCACTGCTGCTGCCCTTTCATCTTCTGCCCTGCAATAGGAAGAGGGCATCTAATGGAAGTGGGGCTATAGGAAGAGAGCCCAGGTCCTCATCTGCACATGCATTGCCACTTTCCAGCCCTGCAAAACAGCCTTTTTGGCTGGGGAAGCCAGGATTCTGGCTCTTGGCCAAAGGGGAGCTGATGTTTTCGAAGTTCGTCAGCCAGGCAGAGAGTTTGGAACTGGCTGAAGCTTTGCATTTCCAGCACCAGCTGCTCATGATTTGACTAGAAACACTTTCTAAGATGTGTGAAAACATCGAGGTTATTAAAATCCCTGGGTTGCTGATTTCCATTTGAATCTGAATAGTCACAGTTTTATTAATATCCAGTAATTTATGTCACTGGTGGCGTAACCTCAGTCCTTGGTCTTTGCTCTTAAAATGAAAATGTAATCTCACCTTGTTCCAGTGTTTACTGGTACATCGCAAAACTGTGAGGAGAATCAGTGCTTCAATGCCTTGAACTCTGTAGAATAAGCTGATGGCACGTTTGCTATCACTGTCTGGATATATGTAAGAGCTACCTGTATGGATGGGGTTTTGCAACATACACCACATGAAATACACTGTCACAAAAAAATCAGTGGGTGCAAGTGTTTAGAGAAAACACAGCACAGAGGTTCAGGTAAGAGGAGTTAGTTGTATGATTGAGTATAGAAATCGTACACTCTAGTATCATTCATTTCCATTCTTCTTCTTGACACTAAATGGTGACAGAGGTAGGATTATCTTCCTTTCTTCAGGATTGTACTTACCTATGTTGTGCCTAACCTGTTGTGGATAAAAAAGTTTTGTCTCTACTCCTGACAGTGCCTTTCTCTATTACAAATTGTTCTGTCATTGTATTTTAAGGTGTCTATCATCTTGATATCCAAATGCCAATTAAAAACAGAATTATCACATAATACAATTAAAATAAAAAACAAAGAAGCCTAGTTTACAAATTTCTAATCTAAATTTAGCTCTTTTTCAGTCACTATTTCTTCACTAATTGCAAAAACAACTATTTGGGGGAAAAGAAAAGAATACAGCTATCAGATATTTTGTTATCTGACCACAGGGTATGAAGTGATTTTAATTGTTTTTTTTCTGATTAACTGCAAGCTTCCAAATTCAAGTCAAAACATATTTGTATTTTCCATATGAGA